AGGCAGGGAGCGGGTGGACACTGGGGGTCCCTGCCCCAAACTTGGGAGCTGGAGCAGCAAGAATGAGGGTCCCTGAGAGAGGTGGGAGAGGAGGACAGAGCAGGCCCGCACTTCCAGCCCCCTTGAGGGACAGAAGGAGAAAGAGCAAGGGACAGAGAAGGCGCAGTCAGATGGAAGAGCTGAAACCTGGGTGCTTTAGAGACAGACAGTGCATCTCAGAACAGGAGCTGGGTCGGGACGGCCCTGCGGCCTGTTGCTGTGCTGCCTGCAAGCTAAGGGTGTGTTTTGACATTTTCAAATAGTTTAAAAGCTTCAAAATAGAATCATATTTCATGTCACCTGAAAATTGTATGACATTCAAATCTCAGTGTCTATAGTTTTACTGGGATGCAGCCATGAGCTCATTCTCTTACGTATCATGTCTCACTGCAACAGCAGAGGGTGTCGAGACGGACCACAGGGCCCACGAAGCTTGAAATAGTTACACTTTGGCTCTTCAAGTGTGGACTCTTGGTCCACAAGAAAGCTTGAGGACCCCTACCTTAGAGAAAAGGGGCCGTGGGCCACAGGAGAGAAGTTGCCCGAGGGAATCAGGCTGCCTATAGGACAGTGGCCAAGGGGCAGAGGAGGGGCGGTCTCTCAGGAGGCCTCTGCAGAGCCAGCTGCCCTGATTCCCCCAGGACGGGGTCTAGACCCCTGCACATACCCTCTGGCCTGGGAACCCCTGCTCCACCGCTGTGAACTTGTGGGCTGGTGCAGTTCCACAACTTCTAAGCCTTAGGATCTCCGTCTGTGAGATGAGGATGATAAGGGAGACCTTGAAGGACTGCTGAGAATTCTCTAAGATGACAGAGGGTACAGCTGGTGCACAGTGGCTTTCAGAAGACCTTGAGGGTAGGCAGCTCCGCCTGCAGGGGGGCTACATCAGCACAGGCACCTCCCAGCTGGCTCCACTAGAGGGCAGGAAGGGCCTGCTGGCAGCCTGCAGGGCGTCAGATGCAGTCAGTCTGCAGGTTTCCGGCCTGGGGAGGGGTGCCCGCCTTGCTGTTTACAGCCCTGGCCTTCGATCAGCTCCTGTTCTCCCCACAGCCTGCTGAGGGCCAGACCGCTGCAGAGCTTTCCACTGAGGGTGGGCTGGGCTTCCTTCTTGCCCTTTCTTTGTCCCTCAGAGGCAGGCCATGCTGACGCCAGGTCAGTGGGTAAAGGCTCCTTCTCCAGCCTATTGTACATCTCCTCGCATCATCCCCCAGTGACCCTGGATGTAGGCAGAGCCTTGGAGTGATGCCCCTCATTCCGCTGAGGGAACTGAAGCTCAGAGAGGCTAAGTGACTCGCTCAGAGTCCCAGAGCCAGTCAGCAGGCTGTCCGGGGCTGTAGCTCTGGTCATATCTTGGGCGGCAAGTATGGGTCTCGCCCCAACAGAGGGCTGGGCTTAACCGCCACACTCCCCACGAGGCTCCACCTTCAGCAGTGTCTCTGCCAGTGTCTCTGTCCCTGCCCTCCAGGCTGGTGAAACACCAAAGCACTGCTCCACCCAGCAGGATGTTTCAGGCGCTTCCGAACACGTGAGCTCACTGTGACCCAAAACAGGCTCTCCCAAGGTATCTGAAAGCAACAGTGACTGTTCTGTCCGGGGGCTTTGATGCAGTTCAGAACACAAGAGCACATGGATACAGACACACCCAGATGTGTCTCGGCAGTGAACAGCAGCAGGGAAGTTGCTGGGCAAAAGTAGTCAAGGCAGACCAGCAGGAGGATGGCCTTTGAGAAGCTGCAGGAAGGAGAAGGAAGAGGCAGGAACACGCGTGGTCACTTGGGATGAGCCTGAATCCGTTAAGGGCAGAGTGAGGGTCCATAAAGTTAGAGGAGGCTGCTCCACAAGGAGCCTTGAATGCCAGGCTCGGGGAGGGGGACTTGGATGGGACAATGGGGAGACAGCAGGCCTTTGGGGGAGCGCGTGACAGGAATTAATGGTGTCTTAGAGAGGTTGATATGAAAGTGATACGGAGACTGGGTGCCTTGGGAAGAAAGCAGGAGAGGATGTTTCTGTGGTCCAGCTTAAGGTGACTGCAGGTACAGTGGAGAGGGTGTGGGTTCCAGAATTGCCAGGGTGTCGAGCTTAATATGATTTAGGAGGCTGGAGGAGGCCTGGTCCAAGACGGGAATAACTGGAGAGTCAAGGTGTAATGGCTGAGAAAAGGGTAATGGGAGGGGGAAATAATTTTTTTCCTATGAGGATGAATTTGAAGACATCAAGTAGAAATGCTCTGTGGATGCATATGGTGAGATATTACAACAGAATCAGAACCCAAGATGCAGAAAAGGAAGGAATGAGCCACTGGACGTGATCTCTAAAGCTGTGAAAGGGAGTCCAGATACCAGGTAAGCAGCTGGAGAGAGGCTGTGGACAGGGAAGAAGAGGCGGTCCAGAGGGAAGTATGCCTTGGGGCTCCCCATCCCATCCCAGGGGGAAGTGTGCCCTGGGGACACCCTTCTCATCCCAGGGAGAAGGTGTGCCCTGGGCCCCCCCCCCCATCCCATCCCAGAGGGAAAGTGTGACCTGGGGCCCTCCACCTCATCCCATCCCATCCCAGATGGAAAGTGTGCCCTGTGGCCCCCCATCCCATCCAGGGGGGAAGTGTGCACTGGGCCCCCATCCCATCCCATCCCAGGGGGAAAGTGTGCACTGGGCCCCCATCCCATCCCAGTGGGGAAGTGTGCACTGGGCCCCCATCCCAATCAATCCCAGAGGAAAGTGTGCACTGGGCCCCCCATTCCATCCCATCCCAGGGGAAAGTGTGCACTGGGCCCCCATCCCATCCCAGGGGAAAGTGTGCACTGGGCCCCCCATCCCATCCCAGGGGAAAGTGTGCACTGGGGTCCACATCCCATCCCTGGGGAAAGTGTGCACTGGGCCCCCCATCCCATCCCATCCCAGGGGGAAAGTGTGCACTGGGCCCCCCATCCCATTCCAGGGTGAAAGTATGCACTGGGCCCGCATCCCATCCCATCCCAGGGGAAAGTGTGCACTGGGGTCCATATTCCATCCCAGGGGAAAGTGTGCACTGGGCCCTCCATCCCATCCCAGGGGGAAAGTATGCACTGGGCCCCCATCCCATCCCATCCCAGGGGAAAGTTTACACTGGGGCCCCCATCCCATCCCAGAGGGAAAGTGTGCACTGGGGTCCACATCCCATCCCATCCCAGGGGAAAGTTTACATTGGAGCCCCCATCCCATCCCAGGGGGAAAGTGTGCACTGGGCCCCCCACCCCATCCCATCCCAGGGGAAAGTTTACACTGGGGCCCCCATCCCATCCTGGGGGGAAAGTGTGCACTGGGGTTCACATCCCATCCCAGGGGGAAAGTATGCCCTGGGCCCCCATCCCATCCCAGGGGGAAAGTGTGCACTGGGCCCCCCACCCCATCCCATCCAGGGGGGGAAGTGTGCACTGGGCCCCCATCCCATCCCATCCCAGGGGGGAAGTGTGCACTGGGCCCCCATCCCATCCCATCCCAGGGGAAAGTGTGCACTGGGGTCCACATCCCATCCCATCCCAGGGGAAAGTATGCACTGGGGCCCCCATCCCATCCCAGGGGAAAAGTGTGCACTGGGGTCCACATCCCATCCCATCCCAGGGGAAAGTGTGCACTGGGGCCCCCATCCCATCTCAGGGGGAAAGTGTCCACTGGGGTCCACATCCCATCCCATCCCAGGGGAAAGTTTACACTGGGGCCCCCATCCCATCCCAGGGGGAAAGTGTGCACTGGGCCCCCATCCCATCCCAGGGGGAAAGTTTACACTGGGGCCCCCATCCCATCCCAGGGGGAAAGTGTGCACTGGGCCCCCATCCCATCCCAAAGACCCCACGTGGCGCACACTGCACCCCTCTAGCAACCATGAGTGTGTGTTGGAGGGAGGACGTTTGTGTTACTTCAGGCCCATCAGAGAACCCCAGCGTTTTTTTTTTTTTTTTTTTTTTACCCCAGCGCTTTTGATGGACAAAAAAGCTGCCTGCACCAGTGCATGAACAAGAAGGCAGGCACCCGTGAGGCCTCCCCCAGCCTCACCTGAGCCACTGTGAGCAAACAACCACCCTTTGTTCTGTGGGGCGGGGTTGTCTCCTGCAAATGGAATATTCCTTAACCATGCGGAGGAAGAAGGAATCCCTGAAGAAAGTCACTTTTTGGTAACTGAGGGGGAAGATGTCCAAGTGGAGGGAGAAGTGAATAAACAGTGTCGTGTGCTGGGAGTGTCGGGTCAGAGGTGTCCTAGTGACCGAAACTGCGCAACTGAAGGAGAAATGCTTCCTGAGTCAAACCCAGACCCAGGCTCGGGCTTCACAACTCATCACCTCGAGAGGGGAAGGGGAGCCATCTCTTAGAGCGCTGTTCCTGAGTGCTCTTCCCCACCCATGGCTTTGCTGCTGAGCCCCCAGCTCCCAGTCCTTTCCAGAAAGTTCTGGAAGCTTAATCGCCATCTCCCTGCCCTCTCGCCAAACCTCCACTCATGCAACTTCAACCTCAGACAAGAAAAAATCTCATATTTTTTAAACTCCAGACAAAGGAAGGCCACATGGCTTCAAACTCGACCACCCTGACCCTGGGACAGTTCTTGCTAGCGTCCAGCTCAGTTCCTCCCTGTTGAGAAAAACTCCTTAGCCGTGCCCATGACGAGGGCTGGGTGGGTCTGGAGGGCATCTGAAGGTGACCCCGGGGCAGGCCGGGAGGAGAGGAGGCAGACTGGGGTGGCTGCGGGGCGCGGACGGCTCCGGCCCGCCCAGAACACGCCCCCGGCTGCAGTGTCAGGCCAGGCTCTTCCTGAGCGGATTACGCGCGGTCTAAGTGACTGAAGCTGCCAGAACGCGATTGGAACGAGCGGCTTACCGAAACGGAGACACCCAGCCGCTGCGCGTCCCAACACAGAGACGGGGCAATAAGCAGAGTAATCTCCCAGCGCTGAGCCGCCCCACTGCCCCGCTTCTTGCTGACACACCCGGCAGTCTCCGCCCGTGCCCCTCCCCCACCCAGAGCCGCATCTGGGGCCGGGGGCTTTCTACCCCAAAGGTGGGGCCGGCGGCCCTCCGGGAGCCCGAGGGATGTGCACAGCTGAGAGGTTCGTCCTTCGGCCTGGACAGTACAGAGGGGCCTGAGCAAGTGGGCCAGGGTCACAGGGTCACAGGGTCACTGGCACTGTGTCTCCTGGCCCCCAGGCAGCGCTCACACCTGTGCACTCACGGACTATCAAGACTCTTCTCCAGCACCACAGCTCAAGAGCATCGATTCCTCGGGGCCCAGCCTTCTTTTTGGTCTAACTCTCACATCTGTACAAGACTGCTGGAAAAACCACAGCTTTGACTAGACGGGCCTTTGTCAGCAAAGTAATGTCTCTGCTTTTTAATATGCTGTCTAGGTTTCTTATAGCTTTCCTTCCAAGGAGTAAGCGTCTTTTAATTTCATGGCTGCAGTCACCATCTGCAGTGATTTAGGAGGCCAAGAAAATAAAATCTGTCACTGCTTCCAGTTTTTCCCCTTCTATTTGCCATGAAGTGATGGGACCAGATACCAGGGGTTAGGTTTTGAATGTTGAGTTTCAAGCCAGCTTTTTCATTCTCCTCTTCCACCTTCATCAGGAGGCTCTTTAGTTCCTCTTCACTTTCTGTCATAAGGGTGGTGACATCTGCATATCTGAGGTTATTGGTATTTCTCCCAGCAATCTTGATTCCAGCTTGTGCTTCCTGCAGCCTGGCATTTCTCATGATGTACTCTGCATATAAGTTAAATAAGCAGGGTGACAATATACAGCCTTGATGTACTCCTTTCCCAATTTTGAACCAGTCTGTTGTTCCATATCCGGTTCTAACTACTGCTTCTTGACCTGCATACGGGTTTCTCAGGAGGCAGATAAGGTGGTCTGGAATTCTCATCTCTTCAAGAATTTTCCACAGTTTATTGTGATCCACACAATCAAAGGCTTTAGCATAGTCAATGAAGCAGAAGTAGATGTTTTTCTGGAATTTCCTTTCCCTCCTCCGTGATCCAACAAATATTTGCAATTTGATCTCTGGGTCCTCTGCTTTTTCTAAACCCAGCTTGTACATCTGGAAGTTCTTGGTCCACATTGCTGAAGCCTAACTTGAAGAATTTTGAGTATATCCTTTCCAGCATGTAAAATGAGTTCAATTGTACGGTAGTTTGGCCATTCTTTGGCATCGCCCTTCACCAAAGACAAGTCACTAAGCCGCCCTGTGCTGTGGCCTCCTTATCTATAGAATCAGAATGTTGAGAGTGCCTGCCATGGGATTCCCCTAGTGGTCCAGTGTTTAACAATCTGCCTTGCAGTGCAGGGAGACGGGTTCGATCCCTGGTTGGGGAATTAAGATCCCACATGCCCGCATGCCTCAACTAAGACTCGGCACAGCCAGATGAACAATAAGTATTTTTTCAAAAGCGTCCCTGCCACATAGACTTGTGAGGATTAAATGGGTTTTTCTGTGCTAACCAGTTAGAACCGGGACTGTTACCCCTCCCCTTCCACCTCGCCTCGCTGCCCCTCTCTGCCTCACACATGTGCTTCAACAGCCAGGCTCTTCTTGTAGAATTGCAAAAACCTCAGCCACAAATTGCGCTGTTTCTCCCCCTAGTGCCTCGGTCCTTCACAGAGACCCTGTCCTCTTCCCGGCCTCAGTGCGCCCACCGAGTGTGTTGCCTGTGTCACTGGCGTGTTTGCCTGATTTCTTGTGTGTCTCCCCAGCTGGACTGGGAGCGCTGCGGGCGGGCCTGGGTCCCTGGTGCCTAGAATTCTGCCCAGCACACAGCATGCCCACGAGGAGTATGTGTCGAGCAACAGAATGAATGGAACACTCAGCCCTAGAGCGCTGGGTTCAGGTCTTCCCTGTAGCATGGGTGCTTGTGTAGGAGGGCTTAGTAGTGGCACCAGGGTCCCAGAGATACACCTCAATGTTTGTCTCACTCCCCTAGGCTGTCTACTATACTGTAATGGGCATCAAAACACAATGACAGTCCAAGCTAGGGGAAGGGCCTGGAACCTTCCAGGGTCTACGGACTCACTGCTGGAGAGGACCAGCAGAGACAGGCGGCAAAGAGGAAGGATAACAGGACCTGAGGCGCTGAGAAGTCTGCTGACGCCCAACTTTCCTTGGGTCTTCAGCGATCCTTGTGACCCTGGGACCTGCCCCTGTTGTGACCCAACAAAGTGCCCTTGTCTGGAGTCAGATCACGGAGATGGTCCCTCTGCTGTGCCACTGCCCTGAGCCTCATAAAATGGGAGTAATAACACCTATTCCACCTTCCCCGAGTAGTCGTATGGTCGAGATTCGTTAACTTGCCTACTGTTTACCTATCCATCCATCCATCTATTCCATAACTTTGATAAGTATCTTCTATGCCAGGCATGGCCCTGGTTGCAAAGGATAGACCTTTGCTTAAGACATACTTCCGGGGAACTTGGAGAGTTATGAAACAGACAATGAAATCATGAAGTATGAGTTATGACCAAGAAATAGAGTGTAATAGGCATGAATGAAATAAATGGGAGACAGGCCTCATTAGGGTTCCCAGGACCACCCTGTTCATGTGGGGGTAACGGGTCTGTGGTCCTCACGGGCATCATGATGCTGCTTCCTCGCTGCCCTCCCACGCCAAGGACTGACTCTGCCGAAAGAACTTTGACCTCTCGGGACTTAACATCGTGAAACTCAAGGATTCCTCCCAGTCCCTTGTGTTTAGACCCAAGTGTAGGGTAGTTCAAGGTGTCTGGGAAAACAAGGTAAACCGTCCGCAATCCTTCACTACCCCTGTGGCAGCTGGGATGCTCTGGCCCCTGCGATTCTCCTTCCTGGGCTCGTCCAGAAGCAATCTAGCATTGTTGAAAAGCTCCACTCTGGAGCTGGGTGGCCTGGATTTGAATCACTCCTCACCTCCTTTACTACTAGCTGGGTGATCTTGGACAAGTTACCTAACCTCTCTGAGCTTCAGCTTTTGCATTTGTAATATCCACACATGTACAATTACATGACGATATAAAGTGCTTAAAACAGTAATCGCACAAAAGCAGGTTCGCACACAGTAAGCTCTCTGTGTTTTATGACCACTACCTCTGCCATTACCATGATGTATCATGTGCTATTTGTCTGCCTCTCCTGAAGTGTTTGAGGGCAGGGACCCTCTGACTTCCTCATTCATCTTGGTATCCCCAGGGCTGGCACAGGGCCTGACTCAGAGCAGACAGGCAGAAATATCTGTTGAATGATGACCGACTCAGTGGTCAGCAGGAGCGCTGGGACGGGCTGTGTAGAGCCAGGGCTGGGCGGGGCTCTCTTGGGGGGGGGGTCTGAGGGGAGCTGTCTGAGTCACAGGAGGCATGTCCGTGGACACCTGGTCTGGGCGTCATGCATTTCTTTTCCTGCTCGCAGCTCCCGAGTGCTCTGTGACCGTCGCTGGGGCGGGAAGGGCAGGTGCCCAGGGAGGTAGAGTGGAGCCAGTCTAGAGGATTCATGCTCCTGTCTCTAAGCTGCTGGACCAGGGACAGCTAGAGGGAATCCACGGGGCCCTGCAGGATGCATGAGGCACCCTGGAGTGGCCACGGGCGGGGAGGAAAGAGGGGGAGGTCCTTGTGGCCACCGAGATGAGAGGGGCGCCATCCCTGTCAGACAGGACGGTCTGTCAGCAGACACCCGGCCAGCGCCCTGCCCACACTGCAGGGGAGCTGGGGCCTGCTCTGCGCCTCTCAGGGGTCAGTGCGGGGCGTGGGCTCCCTCCCCGGTCCCTCGCGTGCCTCCCAGCTGTCACACAACCTCGCAGAAGAACACTCACGGCCGTGTGGACCTCAGTCTTTAAAGCTCAGCAGAGCCTGGATGGGCAGAGTGGGGGGCCCTGACATCTCTCAGGAATTCACTCAGCTGAGTGGGCTGAGGCGTCACAGGTAATCAGAAGCGCATTCTAGGGGGATCATGTTCTATGTCCACGAAGAACTAGTTCTATTACCAGGGGAAAGGCCTGGACTGTTGGATTATGCATGAGGTGGTGCCCTCTCCTCTCTGAACCTGCTCAGAGTTGGGCTGCTTTTTCTTCTCTTAGTCCTTGGTCCCTAGAGATGGGACCAGTGAAGCAATGAACAGCTGGGCGTGTTGGCCAAGCCCCGCTTGGCTGAGAACATCCTGCAGAAATGACAGCAACCTGCTGCAAAGACCCAGAGGACAGGGACCCTGATAGAGCTTCGTGGGTTGGAAGGAGACATGAAGGGCGCTGGGAGGGAGCTGGTTGTCCTAAGGCATCAGGAGGTGATTTCCCGCTGCTCAGAGACCTCCTTCATGGTTCTGTCGGCAACTCCTACCTGGTGACTTAGTGGTGAAGAATCCGCCTGCAGTGCAGGAGGCCCAGGAAACAGGGTTCGATCCCTGGGTTGGGAAGATCCCCTGGAGGAGGAAATGGCAGTCCACCCCAGGATCCTTGCCTGGAGAATCTCATGGACAGAGGAGCCTGGCGCGCTACTGTCCCTAGGGTCACAGAGTCCGCTGCGACTGAAACAACTGAACGGACATGCACGCACATTAATTACAATGACAACTCCTGTGTCACCCCACACATGCACTCACACACAGACACACATATAAACACCCCACGCACCATTACGCAAACACACACGCACCCTTACAGTCACGTGTGTACACACACACATACAGTTCCACTCACATAAACACATCCCTTTCCCACTCTTACCAACTCATTGACACACATACACACACCACTCTGCCCCCTTCACCGGTTTAGGCAATTCCAGACATGCCTGTGAGATTTGAGTTTGCTTCCAGTGGGGAATAAAGTGATGGCTAACGACAAGCTTGAGGGGGTGGTGGCTGTTGGTCTTAGCTGTTTGTTGTTGCTATTGTTGCACTGTGCATGAGGAACCTTAGTTCCCCGACCAGGGATCGCTGCTGCAGAGGAATCAGCACGGAACCTTAACCCCTGGACCTCCAGGCGAGCCCAGCGGCTGTGGTTCTGTTGACGTGGTTTGTGTGACTGCCGCCCAGGCTGTGTTTGCACTTGTTTTCCATTCATTTAGTGTTGCAAGGTGTGTTTCCACGTTGACTGAAT